ACGGACGGACGGAGCGAGCGCCCGGCAGCGCCGCGATGCTGCCCGCGGGCGGCGGCTACGCCGTGAAGAGGAGGAAGAAGCCGGTGCAGAAAAGGTGCGTGCAAAACACACACACACACACACACACACTCGGGCTTGTAGCCAGTCTCTCACACATGCACACCCAACCTCTGTAGGTGCCTACATGTTGGAGGTGGGCTGGGGTCTATCTGAAGGCAGGCAGGGCTCAGTCCTTCCAGCCTTGCTTTGCTACAAAGGTTGGGTGGGGGGTGCTTTCCCTCTCCCCTGGATCTAGCCCCTTTTGACACACGCAGGTCATCTCCTGGCTCTGGGCATTTGCAGGGGTGTCTTCCAATCCCCTGGTTTCTCCCACGAGAGCAGATCTTGGAGATCTCCAAAGGACTTCTCCCCTCCAAACCTGGCGGGTCCCTGACTGCCTTTGGCTCTCTGACTCCTAAAACACCTGCCCCAGCCGTGAGTGCTTGTGACAGGATCCCAAAAAAACACACATTGCTATGGGTACGATTTCTGCCTTGCCTCCTCCCTCTGCTACCCTGTGTTGGTCGAAGCCAGGCACAAAGTTCAGGTTAATCAAGTTTGCTCCCTTCTCAGCTCCCAGGAAAGAGCCAGAGTTGTTTCCTTGTTTGGGAAGGAATATTCCCCCTTGCTCCCTCTTTTTTTTTTCTTTTCCAAGTAAGCTTCCCCTTTCCTGAAGTCTCCAATGAAATGAGAAGTCCCTCATGGAAGTTTGCAGCATTGGATCAAAGTAGTTTGGCAGTGATGCCCCTGTGAGCTGCTCTCAGGCTGTCCTGCAAGTGGGGCCCCATTAAACACCATTCTTGTCCTAGGGGCATTGGTTGTAGCCGTGTTGGTTTAAGGACATAAACGGAAAAGGTTCTTTGGGTAAATCCAATATCTTTTATTAGACCAACTAAACTGTTTACTTAGTCTAATAAAAGATACCACATTTACCCAAAGAACTTTTTTGGCCTTCTTGTCCCAGGCTTTCCAGCCCCTGCCCTAGAGAAAGGCATGGGAGATGGACAACACAGACAGCAGGCAAATTGGGATGAAATATATAGGATTTAAGAAGTCGCATGCTGAGACATTACAAGGAATATACATGCAAGAGATACAATGGCTAACAGGGCACGTGTCAGTGTGATGCATGCGCTGCTGGGCCACGGGACTGTTCAGGGCACTAGTAGATAGGGTGCCTAGAAAAAGACTATAATAAAGTGGGTCAAATACATTTATACGAGAGGTTCTCAGCCTTTCCCACATAGCGATTCCATGTTAAAACAAAAATGTTTCAAGCCTGCCCCTGTTAAGGGACTGTGTTTGGAGGGCTAGGGGAATCAGGAGACAAGTATCCTGGCTGGAGTATAGTGCCAGGAGGTAAGAATGTCATTCATGTATGTGCATCTGTTCCACTGTTGCAGCAATACTGATTGGATCAAAAGCTCTGTATTGCTAACCAATACTATATAGATGGGTGCAAGTGATCTCACTACTTAGTGCATGAATAGCACTTGGCTTTGGAATCCACTTTCCCTCCCAGCCTGATCCAAAATAACGCTGGTGTTTTGATTGCAGGGGCATGCTGTGAGGAGAGGCTTACTAAAGTGGAAATGTGTGTGAGGCAGGGAAGTTTTGCTGTTCTTTGTAAGCTGGCAGGGCTCAGGCTGGATGCTTTGATGATTTGTTTTCATTCGTTTACTTGCTTTTAAAAAAATCAAGGAAGCGGCACAGAATTAGAAAAGAACATCCCATTTTGCCGTTCTTGAGAGTTTAGACTCCAGTCCTGAAATTTTTTCTGGACAGCAGGACCACACACGACTCTGTGTCAGCTCAGAATTAATAAATTCTGTGCTCAAGGCCATCGTCAACCCTCGTATTTATTTACTTGTTTGGCTCAGCAAGCAGGATGAGTTGTTTTGTGTTGTTTTGTTTTGCTCTTAATTTGGAGGAAGGGGGAGGTGGGAACATTTTATTCAGGATGACTGTACAATTTTCTTTATAAAGCAAAGGGCTAACTACCCAGGGGCTGTCGGCAGGTGTTGAGAGAGAGGTACCACAGCAAAGCAGCATAGTCTGAAGGATGATCTTGGTTTCTTGATTCTAGCAGTGATCCTTTTTTTCAGAATTACGGGGAAGTGACGTTCAGTGGTTCTTTACTTGTGATGTGTGGTAGCACTCTTATGCAACCTGCAGTGCTTACATTCATGCATGTATTGAGAAGTGGGAGTCTAATAGGTTGCAAAACCTTTAAGTGTAACCTGATGTTACTGTCTCTATTCATGGCAATGATTCTATGATGAGAGTTAGTTTTGTTTTTCTCCAAAAGTGGCTGTTGTTATATAACTTTGAGTCAAATAGGGCAGTTCGAAAGCAATTTAGCACTTTCTTAGGGAGTTACTGAAGGGCATATGGTAGTGTTAGAGTGATGTAATCATGATGGTCCAGGAATAATGAGAGAGGCAAGGTTTTTTTTTGAGGGTGAGAGCTTTTATTGCACCAGCTGCATGGTTGGAATAAATTTAGACAAACTTTTCCATGCAAGACATCTTTCATTAGGGTATACAATATAGTGTAGTAAGAGGCTGGCAGATATCAGGCATGAATCTGTTTCTTTACATCTTAAGGCAAGTCACTTCTGCTCTTTCTAACCTGCACTGCAAGGGGAGAGCAATGGATAAGGGGTCTACCCCACATGAGGAGCTGGCCAGCTGATTTCATGGATAGATCCCCATGTGGGCTGAGTGTGACAGGTCCCCCCATGCCTCTGGCTGAGGGGCCCTGGCAGTCCTGCCCCTCCCTGCAGATTGCCAAATGACCTAAAATCATGGCTTAATTACCTTGCTTAAACCATTAATTCATACATTATTAAGCTTGGATTAATGGCTCCCCAGACTTAATCAGGGTAATTAAACTGCAGTTTAGGGTCATGCTCAAGCTGAACCATGATCCTGGGCTGGTTGCAGTGAGCAGCCAGAAGGCTAAAAGTGGCTGCACCAGGGTCTGCAGAACCCTGGCATAGCTTGTTGCCAGCAGTAGGTGCACATGTGCAATGAGCTGTGTTGGGAGTCTGCAAACCCCGTTGCAGCCACTTGCAGTCTTCAGGCTCTCTGCCAAAGCCGCCCATGACCACAGTCCAGCTGCTTGTGCAGCCTCCCTGCCCAACATGCTCTCCCCTGCCCTGACTTTTGCCCTCTGCCCTCCACCCTGCCTGTGCCTTCTGCCATTGGTCCCCTGCCCTTCCTGCCATCTCCCACCCCCATGACTACATGGCTTCTCACCTTTTTCCTCTGCTTGCAGGTAAGTTTTTTGTTTGGTTGTTTGTTTTTTACAGTGAGCCCACCATTTTTTTTTTGTGGACCCCATTTGAATTCATGGTTTCCACAAAAATTGTGCAATTATGAATTTGGTAGCTCCCTAGCAATGGAGAATCAGATCCAGAAAGTATCGCTGGCTTAGAATAAGAGCTGTTTTTGTGCAGGAACAGATGATGCAAGGATTGGGTTTCAGAAAAATGAGCAGCTGTTTAACTAAATCAGGTTCAGAACATATAGGCTGGTGTATTAAACTCCTCTTTGAATCTGAATTTTCAAGTTTGGGCAGACTGTGGAAACCAAATCCAAGAGGACTGACTGGTTGTGTCTGGGGACTGGCAATTTATTAAGAATATTCCCTCTTCCCTAAGGCTGCTGGTTCAAAATGCTGGACCAACTGGCAGTAAATATAAGGTACCATGTGACATGTTTGGTGCCCTTTCTCAAAAGAGCTCACCTTACCTGGAGTTGTGCACATCTCACATCAGCAAAGAGGGCAAGCAGGCTTTGACCTGACCTATCCTTCCACAACTAGGAGAGGACAAGTGTTTTGGACATAAAGCAGGACAGTCTGCAAAGGGGCTGTGAAGCTGTTAGAATTGATAACCAAGGAACCCCCTTGGAGTATACTGTAAATTACTTCACAGTAAGCCATCCAGCTAAGCTGAATCTCTGCTCCTTCTCTTAAAATTTTCACAGTGCCTAGTTGCTGATCAAGGTTGGGGTGGGGGGAATGCAGTGATATTGTCACTCCCTCAACTCATTCATCTGCATAGTGCATGTGCCGGGAGCTCTTTGCCACTGAGAGCTCTGATCTCTGCCACTGGTCTCTCTCCTATGCCAGTGAGCTCTCCACTACATGCTCCCCACCTTTCAGATTCCTATATCCACGTGGCAGTTGAAAATTCATTTGGATCCAGCCCCTGTACACAGTTTTCTCATCCATTAAGTACAACCTTGAAGCACTCTGGATATTGAACCTGACACGGTAAAGTGGGAGCTCTTGTAGAGGTCGTCATCTTAAGCCTTCGCCCTAAGATAAGTTTTGTTTTCTCTTTCTTATGCTTCCCTGTATCTTGATGACTTTGCAACAGATTCCTCTCCAGAGCATTCTCAAGCTTTGTGCAATGGTCTGGGGTTGTAGGCAAACTTGCCTAGTGGTTAGGCCAGTGAGAGAAGGCAGAAGCCAGAGATGTAGTCTAAAACATGGGCTAAGTCAGGGTTGGGAACAAAGCTCCCAGGTCCAAGGGAGAAACCCTAGGACAGAGTCCAAAATACTGACTGGGTCAAGGTTCAGGGAAGTGAGAGCAAGTTACCAAACCAGAGAGAAATCCAGGGGCAGAGTCCAGAACATGGTCAGGGTCAGTGCCTGGGAATAGCTTGTCAAGGTGCCAAATTCAAGGAAACTCCCACAGACTGAAGTCCAAGAACAGGGCGCAGCAGGGTCAGTAAGCGGGAAAGCCAGAGAGCACAGGAATACAGAGGCTCATCTTGGTCAGAACTGTTGCTGGCCTGGAGCATGTTGCTACGGCTGGAGGTAAAGGGAGAAGCTGCTCTCCCAGCCAGTCAGGAGGCCCAGATGTGACCAGCTGGAGTTATTAGCTGGGTTAGGCCTGCCAGTCAAAACTCCAGGCAGGTGTGCCCCACGAGGCAGTTAGCCCAGGCTGTGCTACCAGTCAGGCCCCTGTCACTTGGTCTGGATTTTTCAAGAGGTTTTGCACCTTCACACACGGTAGCACAGTCACCAAAAGATTCCTGCTGTTTTGATGTATTGATGCGTTATTGTTTCTAAGGATAGAGTTTTGATTACTGCAGTCCATTTCCTTTCAGGCTGTGTCTCCTGGAAGGAACTTCAGCTATGAATGAAAAATAATCAGTTTCTTTTGCCTTAATTGAGGAGCAGGCCTTATGTCAAGGTATTTGTTCACAGGAATTAATAGGGTCAGAGTATTGTAGTAGCCATGATGTTCCAGGAACTATGTGAGAAGCAAGGTTTGTGTTTTTCTTTAAAATGATCAATACCTTTTATTGGGCCAACTGAATAGTTGAGATTGCCATGAGACAAGCTTTTGGGTATAAAGTGCCATTCTTCAGGTCTGGGGAAGTAGCAACATCTTTTTAAAAAGGGGAAGGATCCTTTTTCTTGCTTTTTTCAAAGTTGTAGTCCATGTGGAAGCATAACTTCATTGTATGTCTGTAAGCTAGTTTCTGACCCCATTTAAGAAGAAACGGGTGGTGTTGGGAGCTGGGGGGAGGAACCAATCTATCTTTCAGTTAAGTAGTGTTCACCCATGGAGCAATTTTGTCTTGAAATGGTGGATACCAGGGAGGGTAATGAACAGTCACTCGAGTCTATCCACCTCTTTCAGGAGTGTTCATTTCTGTCACCATCAGGAATGGGATACTGGGCTAGATGAACTGTTGGTCTAACCAAGTATGGCAGCTCCTAAGAGATTTGGAAGCACTGATCTTCTTGTTTAAGAAGCAGCTATTAAAGAAGATGGCGATAAACTATTGACTTAAGCAGGTTTCTGCTGTTTGATACTTGACTCCCATGTTTACTAGATACTTGGCACTCTATATAGCAAACATACCTAGTGACTATACTATGTAATATAAAGCAACCCAGTCATACATCCCATGTGAAGATATCATTTAAAGAGAATATGGTTTAGTAATGGTGGTTTTCTTTTATTTTTACATGGAAAAATACTATTTTTCCTTGTTTTTTCTTCTTTCTGGATTATCCTAGGTTATTTTTGAATAACAAGGAAACAAAAATCTTGTTCCATGTACTAAATTTGGACTATTTTTTATCACTCCTAACTAAAAGGCTGGGGTTAAAAATATTATAGTGCATTTTTTGTGTCTCTTATTCCCATCTCTACTGAGATTAAGTGAACAGATTCTTCAGTGTACGTGATGGATTCTCTGAAGTACGCTTAATTATGAAGCACTTAATCTTCTAATTAAAACATCTTTTACTTTTTTCTTTCAAAGGATGTCCACATGATTTTAGAAGTGTTTAGGCAGCCTCTCATGTGGAATACATGAAACTACGGCTGCCAATCTGTTATACATAGCATGTACAGGCAAGTTTGGCAATGACTGTATTCAGCCTCTGTGAGAAGTAGGGTATATATTTCCAGAGGCTATCATTACAAAGCAGGACATAAATAGAATTTTTCATGGATATTGCCATAATTTTCCGTCTCTGCTTAGAAGTATTTTCAGTTACTTGCTGAAATGGAGATCCAACAGTTGCCTCATTGTGTCACATTTAATACAGATTTCCCCCTCATTCATAGAATCACTACTGCCCACTGACACTTGGCAATAATATTAGATTAACAATTAATAAATTGCCTTTATATACTGGCAGATCTTGTTGGCTGAAACCACATAAAACAGCAAGGGTACCTGCAGGATTGACTGAGGTACACTGAGTTTCCAATGGGATAAAACACATTACAGTAATATGAGTTGAGCCATCCCAAAGATTATCTAATAGGGGGAGGTTATGTGTCTGTGGGAGTGCCAGGCTCCAATCTCCTTTTGAAAACCAAAAAATCATTAGTCAGCAAGGAAACCCAGTCCAGTGAATAGTAGGTAAAATCCTGGCCCCGGTGAAATCGGTAACAAAACTCCCACTGAATGTAGTGGGACCAGGATTCTGTTACCTGTTCCTTCACATTTCAGTACTGCAAGTTCTTGATATATCTGGGTTGTGTTTTTTTTAAAGCATTTATTCTGGAAGGCACATGATTATGTAGAAACCTCAGCTTTTCTAAGCATAATTTTATGTTTGTTTGTTTTTTGTTATACATTTGTACTGTGGTACTGTCTAGGAACATCAGTCCCGTATTGGTATGCTAGCTTGAAAAAGTGAGCCAAATGCATCCTAAAGATTCAGAAACTAGAAGGCAAATACAGTTGTGCTTACCCCACTCCCTGTATCTTCCCCCTCTCCCCTCCCCCACCCCAAATTCTAATATAAAAATATCTCCTGATCTTTAAGACACTCTTATGATTTATAAAATACTTGTGGTTGGTGTTACTTAAACTCTAGTGCCTTTATTCATGCTGAATAGCATGAGTAGCACTTGTGCATTACTCCTCAATGCACAAGTGCTTCTGTTGACTTCCATGCGGATTTATTGTCAGAAGATCTTCAGTGCTTGTAAGATATAAAGGATGTTAAGAAAGGGGCATTCATTTTTTATAGTCTGCCTGTCTAGCTCCAATATGTTGAACTTCATTTTAGTGGAGTTCACTGTTTAAAGAGTTGTTCAAATACAAGTGTCTTGGATCTTTATTCTTGTTGCCGCAGTACTGGCAACAGCCCACCCAAGAACAAGGCACTGTCTGTACATAGACTAAGAGACGGTCTGCGCTCCAAGCTTACTATCTAAATAGGCAAAACAGACTCAGAATGAGGAATGGGCAGAGCCCACCAGCATAGTCAACTGTGTGATGACAACAAGTACCATGTTAGTGCCATTATTTTTTCTGGCTTTAATTAAGAGGGTATTAGCTAAATGGAAACAAAAGGGAAGCCAGTGAGGGTGACAGGGTAGGGGACCAGAAGCTGTGGAGTAAACAGCCTATTAGTGTGGGGCAGAGCAAGTCCAGTAAAAAGTGTTGCAAAGTCTCTTACTGCCCTAAAGCCCTGATTGGGTTGCTTCTGCTCCTGTGAGTTGGGGTCTCTGGCAGACTCTTCTCTGGAATCTTCCCCAAGACCCGATGACAGAGGGAGAGGAAAGCAGGAAGCATTGCATGGGTCCTAATATTTGAGCATGTGGCTGGGATCTCCTTGATCTGAATTGGGTTCAGCAGGATGGTGGGAGATGTTGTCCTAGCCAGGCTCCATTTTACCCTGTTCTCCTGCGTGCTGAAGTCCCTGCTTTGACCGCTTCTGCTGCTAGCTGGAGGTTCTCATGTTTGGTGGTTACCTGCCCATCCTGTGCTCAGTACAGTCTTTGTGGTGAAGTTTTTCTTAGGCATGTCATCATGAGTTCCAAAGTGAAGTGATGCTGGCTCCTGGCCTGGGGGTCTTTAAGACAAGGCTAGACAATCACCTTGCTGGGGTCGTTTGACCCCAGTACTCTTTCCTGCCATGGCAGGGGGTCGGACTTGATGATCTGCTTAGGTCCCTTCCAACCCTACTAACTATGAAACTATGAGTTTGACCCTTTTCCTTCCAATGAGAAGACCCCCCTATATTTACTGGTGCCTTGGGAGACCCCTTTATGAGGTGTGGGGTTCATGACTGAAATCTACCTTGGAAAACAACTTCCCAATAGCTTTTTCTAAAAGCAAGCTTGCCAAGGGTCTATAGCAAAAACTGTGTAGGACCCAGATCAGGACTTGGTCCCACAGTGTGAACTACACCATCTCTTTCTGCCATTATACCTTGTTTTCTTGAAACAGATGGCTAAGTCTGTTTTTGCAATTATATTGGAGCTCAAATGGTGTTTGGAAATGAGTTAGCAGCAAAGAATGTAGCTCTTACTCTGTTTGCTCCCTTTTTATTTATATTTTTCTCTCCTTTGCTAGCCCCAAGCTGCCACCTCCTGAAGGTGTGAAGTCTAACCCATCCAAGCGGCATCGGGACCGCCTTAACCAAGAACTGAACAAACTGACCAGCTTGCTGCCCTTCCCTGAGGATGTTCAGGCAAGGCTGGATAAACTCTCCATCCTTCGTCTCATTGTGGGGTACCTGAAGGTGAAAAGCTATTTTGTGGGTGAGTGTCAGACTGAATATTTCACATAAGCTGCTCTGTTGAAACTGGAAGGCCTTCCTGCCCCTATGGTGTTTGGAGGAGTTCATGTACTGTCCTCTTGTCTTCCTCTGTGCTGGTTAGCATCACATTTCTGAATGAAACTTGTACCAGAGTGAGATGCCACTGAAGATTAGAAAAGGAGCTATAAGGAAGGACAGACCATTGCCCTGAAATCAGGATTGCTTCTGGGAGCAGGGGGGAGAGCTCTGCTGGGGGACTCCCCAAGAAACAGAGTTATTTGGTCTTGCTGTCCTGAGAAACCCCCCAGAAGCCAGCCCTGGCATGGCTTCACAAGGGCCAAGCCTCTGGCTTTGAGACTGTACGTAGTCTTCTTTGCCCTTTCAAAGGTTACATCACATTCATCACACAATTCTGCAACCCTTGTCTTGGAAAGCTGCTTGTATGCTGAATTCTCAGCCATAGTACTGGGTAGGCAGTCTTGAGATCCCACCATTACTACCATCTGTCATGCTTATGAAACTATTTACAGCAATAATTGACATCAGCATATGTTCAAAATGAGCCCCCTAAACATTTCCCACCAGAAGTGCAAGCCAGAACCCAGCTCACCTTGCCTCTTCCTTTTCTCTTTCCTCACTTCTTTCCGTCCTTTAAAAATTGAACTGAGCTAGATCACTGGAATCAGTAAACCAGGGAAATTCAAGTCCCCACTTTTCATGCATTGGTAATCACAATGAGGTTAAGTGGACTGAGTTCTAGCCTGCAGTTCTTGTGGGGAAAATTTGGGTGGAGGGGGAGCACTGTGAGCATATGTTGATGTAAATAGTTTCATAAGCAGGACCTTAGGTGCTTTTTCACTGGAGGAGGAAATGGCAGTCTGAAGCTGGTAGCAGGGAGAGGCATGCTTCTGTTGCATTCCCTATGCTCTTGATGGTGATGTGCACATAGAATGATGTTTTGTCCTTGCATCTAATTTGACAAAGCACAGGCAAACCAATGTGTAGTAAAGCAAAGCAATGTGCAGTAACACATCTAGTCCTGTTTATGTATCTGAGATGATAATGATGTCAAAACTTAGGAAGACCAAGGGTGATTTAGTCATGGCCCTTCTCTAACTTGAATTCTTTAATATGTTTAAATATAAAAGGAATATTTTTACAACTTTGGCTTAGATCTGCTCCTCATTGATGCTGCAGCTAAAGCACTGACTGTCATGGGAGCAGGCCAATGGGAGCAGTGCTGAGTAATCCTGAAAAGCCTTCCTCTATGTGCATATGTTATTGTGATGTATGCTATTTTGTAAAGTTTGCTTAGGACTTGTCTCCCTTCAGTGTAAGATTCCATAGTTCTAAATGGTGGTCAGGTAGAAGGATGTTTTATAGGATGGTAACTGAATGTGAGTGGCCTACTTCAAAACAAATTGTCATTTTTCACTAGGACTTTGGGAGAGCTGTGTTGGAATCCATTTTGATTTGAAAACCAGCAGAATGACTTGTGATCCTTTATTCATATCTTGGCTAGGAATAGCTGATAATTTCCTGTCAAAATGGGTTTTTTAATGGAAAATTGAATTACAGCTAAGTGAGAGTTATCACGGAAAATGTCTGTTTCCCTTGAAAACATGGTTATTTCACTGGAAAATTAAAACTGTCTGATTATTTCACCCAGAAAGAAAATAAATTTCATTTCTGTTTTATTGATGAAAAGTTGAAATTTTGTGCAGGAAGAGAAATCCCAAACCAGTTCTGGACAAGATCATTACGGCTAGTTTGGTCTACGTTGAATTACCATGTTGTTATAAAGGGCCCAATTGAAAACAAATTACATCCTGTTTCCATTTCACATAAGTCTGTAGACTGCCACAAAGAGAATGGAAAAATAGACAGAGGTTACAGTGCAGTGTTTTGTAACCTTGGAACTGTTTTTCTTTTTTGGGATCACTCTGTATCCTTTACTGAATTGGTCTTAGAAAAAAATCTACAATTTCTTTTTTTGGTTTAATTTTCTAGGCCCTTGGACTAGGCCAGGAAAAAAGGAAAAGATATTTTTATATCTACATTTTATGAACAGCTATGTAAACCACTGCCCTGATATAAGAGGTGCACTACAGGAATTTAGATGTAGCAAGATGATTTTCTAACTGGGAAAGTTTTAGTATGCATGATCTGTAAATCTTTAATATTTCCATTGTCTAAATCAGTAGAAAATCTCTCCATTTAAACTACCAAAAGTAGTAACCAGTTCTCTCACCTACTTATCACTTCTTTTGCAATAGAGAGTTTGTCTGAGTTACTGTACAGACAGTTTGTGCTTTGTAGTTAAAAGTTTGGCTGTGGAGAGATGCTGGGATTTCTGCACAGTAGAATTTCTGCGTTCTCTGCAGAAAGATTGTTTCATGTTCCCAAAACAGGGTTGCATCACGTAGTTATGATGCACATTTGATATCATGCCCTTGCACATTTATGTGGTCATATTTCACCATCAAAGGAACATTTTTATACTGGTTTGACCCAAACCTTTTTCCCCTAATATGGCTGTGGAGAGTAAAACTCTTGCCAATGACAATGTTCAGCAAGCTGAAAGGAATAAGATGCTGATGGAATATGAATGCATATGCAGCAGTGTGAAGGGCTTGTTTTTACCAAGCTAAGAAGGGATTTTTAATACTGTTGTGATATATGGTCTCCTTCTCTAGTTTGTGACTCTCTTAGGGGAAGAGAGAGTATAGTACTAGAAAGAGTATAGTACTCCTGTTTCTAGTCAAGTATAGCTAGTGACTGATTAGCCAGCCCTGTCATGATACACACAGAAATGCAGAAGCAAAGGACACTCAGTGTGGAGTTCTGCTCTGTTGAAGCAGCAGTCCTAATGGGGAGAGGCAGAAGGGAATCCAGCAAACCTTTCTTCTCTCTGATACAGGATACAAGAGGAAGAAGCTGGGTGTCAGGTGTGTTTAGACTCTCCTTTTAAAACCCCAGATAGCATGTATCGTCAAGTTTCTGTGTGCAAGATCAACTGTAGTGAGCTTTGAAGAGCTCTGTCCCTCACAAGTGTGAGCTGAGCTGTGAAGATCTCTAGGGTATCAGGGACAGATTGCCACATCCATATCTAGGGTCAGACTGACTGTTTTCCAAATCCTGACATTCCCTGTTAATGTTTCCAAGAACCAGATATTTTTCTAAACCCTGATCAGGTAGCAAACAAGCATGATCCTGATCAGATAAACTTCTAAATGGAACTATCACCTGCTCATCTGAGGCCAGGGACAGAAGTTATACATGCACTGGTTTAAGTGATTGGAAACTGGCTTAAACCTGTAACAGAACAGAAGTTCAGTGCACATAAACCGCTTTCAAAATGACCAAAATTGGTTTAAGATAAGCCTGGTTGGATATAGCATCAGACTTAACTGATTTTGGTCAAACTGGGTTATGGAACTTCTGTCCCAGATCCCATCCTGTCCTCCTTCAAGTTAACTCACAGTCCCCCAGCATCCCAGGATGCTTTGCAGTCCTGGACTATGCTGTCTTCTCCAGTGGAGCAGGGACTGCTTTACCCCTCTGCTTCTTAGCCTGCTGCCTGTCTGTGTCCGTCAGCCCATAGGAATGGGGAACAGACCCCCAGACCCTATACAGCAGGTGTGGGGGGGGAAGCCTTTATGGTAGCCCTCTCCCCTCCCCCTTCCCAGCTGCTGATTGCTTCAGTGGCTGCCACAGAAAGGAAGGAGAAGAAGTCCTCTGGGTTGGGTGCCTGCCCCTGCCTTTAGGGCCCCCCACAGCCCAGGGCAGCCCAAGGGAGCCAAGGGAATTCTTCCCCTCCCAGACCTTGCCCTAGTCCCTGCCAGTTTCAGGCAGCTTCAGGGAGCAGAGGGAAATTCTCCTGTTCCTCCGCAGCTGATTTTGCCTTAGCTGCTGTGAGTCTGAGGCAAAACTAATGCAGGGGATCAGGGGAATTTCCCTCCACTCCTTGAGCTATCCCTGAGACTCACAGCAGCTAAGGCAAGGGATTGTGGAGGGAAAGAATCCCCTTCAGCTCCCTGGGGCTGCCCCAGGCTGGGGGACCCTGGGCTGGGGTGGGGGGAAGCCTCACAAGGCAGGGGCTCCCCAGTGCCCCCATTCTGGGCTGCATGGGCAGGCACCTGGCCCAGGAGGACTTCTTCCTCCCTCCTGTGGCAGCCACTGAAGCAAGCAGCATCTGGGAAGGGAGGGGTGGGGGGGGATTCTCCTCAGCTCCCTAGGGCTGCCAGGGCTTGGGAATGCAGGCTGGGGGAAACCAGTGGGGGAGGCTCCCCCAAGGTGGGTCAGCCCCTGGACACAGGGCTCCTGAACCTCCTGTGGGGGGACAGTATGGGGCTGGGGACACTTGGCTGGGCTGGCAATAGCCAACAGTCTGGGAGACGTGCTCTGGTGCCCCCTGTGCCCACCCTCCCAGCCCGAGTCAGTGAAGACTTTCCCCTGCTTTTCCCAATTAAAAACCAAACATCGGTTCAGTTGGTTATCCGTTCAACCTATGCAGCTTATAGGAAGCAGCCTAGTTTGAATTGATTCAACCTCAGGGTTTTTGACTGTCTGTACTTAGCCCAGGAGTCAGGCACTAAACCTAATCTGCATAATGCTTTATAGCCTTTAGATAATTACGTAGCAACAGGCTGTTGATCTGGCAAACACGCTCTTTGTCATGCACTGAAAATGTGCTTTCTGGGCCAGTCTTTCACAAGAAAGCTTATTCTGTAAAAATTTTGAAACACTTTGGTGCTGCATTCCCAATGCATGTTAGGCTCATTCCAACAGTGTTCCTTTATTGTACAGGTTAAGTTAAACTGAGCTCCTGAGACAGTTGTGGTATCAGTTATGTTAAGTCCTTTTTATCCCCTGTTTTGCTTTGTGGGGTGTTCAGATGGTGCGTGCAATATTCTGTATCAGACAGTTAAGATACAGGGGCATGATGGAAAATGTCAAAGGTGTATTGAAGTCAGCAACTAGCTTCAGAGAGGCTAAAGG